CCCCGCGGCCCCCGCGCCCCAATCCCTGCGCATCCCGATCCCCAGCAGCCCGTACACCCCGCGGCCACCGCGCCCCAATCCCTGCGCATCCCTATCCCCGCACCCCCATCCCCGCAGCCCCCGATCCCCGCGCTCCCCCCGCCCCGCCCCGTGCACCCCGAACAGCAGGTGACAGCGCCCGGCTTCCCACACCTGGGCCCAGCCCTCCGCACCTGCAGCCAGCCACCCCGCACCCGGGACCGCGCGGCTCTGCCCCTGGGTCTCCCCGCCCTGGGGTCTCTGCATCCTGGGGTCTCCGCATCCTGGAGTCTCTCCGCCCTGGGGTCTCCCCACCCCAGGGTCTCTGCATCCTGGGGTCTCCCCACCCCGGGATCTTCCTACCATGGGGTCTCCGCATCCTGGGGTCTCCCCACCCCGGGGTCTTCCTACCATGGGGTCTCTGCATCCTGGGGTCTCCCCACCCCGGGGTCTCTGCATCCTGGGGTCTCCCCACCCCGGAGTCTCTGCATCCTGGGGTCTCCCCACCCCGGGGTCTCTGCATCCTGGGGTTTCCCCGCCCTGGGGTCCCCCACCCCTGGGTCCGCCGCCTCTGTGGTTTCAGTTATGTAAAAGACCTTGGACACGGGGGTGGGGGGTGAGGGGGAAGCACTGGCCTTTGTGGCTGGCCGCAGTAGGGCCAGGGCTCCTGCCTGCCCGGAGCCCGCAGCCCCTGCAAGGTCGTGGGTCATGACCCAGGGAGGCCCAGGCTAGGGGCGCCTGGGTGCGGCTGGGTGGGGGGCGGAGGCCGGAAGGCTGCCGGGAATGCCTTGCAGGCGGCCTATTTTCTTCCTTGTCTGGTCCTCTCTGTTACCAGCTGGGGGACGCGTGCAGAGCATAAAAATGACATTTAGGAACATTAAAAGCACCATCACCTGCAGAAAGGGGAGGTTGGGGGAATCTCTGAGGCTGAAGAGTTCAGCCACAGCAGACGCAGGGAATCAGAAGCTTCCTCACCCGGGAGAGGGCCGCCTCCCGGCCGCCTATTTATAGGCCCATGCCTGGTGAGGCAGAGCGAGGAGGAGGGTGTGAGTCCGTGGCTCTCCCTCCTGCACCGGGCAGCGGTCAGCCCAGCCAGGCTTCCTCAGCCCGCACAAGTCTGTGCCACCAGGCATGAGCATGGAGTGAAGGGGGAAGGCTGGAGCGACTTGGCCACACAGACATGGCCGCCAGCCCCACCAGGGGCACCTGCCACTGCTCGTCCTCTGAGGAGGCCGGCTGGCTCCTTGCATGTGGAGCAGCCAGTGCTGCCACCCCAGCCAGCACCAGGGCATCCCTTGGCTAACCATGCTTCAGACAGCACCTCCCACTCCAAACACCCGGCACTTCTGCCACCTCATGCTCATAATACCCTCCACACAGGACCCCACACCAGGCCCTCATTCCCCATAATACCCTCCACACAAGACCCCACACCAGGCCCTCACTCCCCATAATACCCTCCACACAGGACCCCACACCAGGCCCTCATTCCCCATAATACTCTCCACACAGTGCACCCACACCAGGCCCTCATTTCCCATAATACCCTCCACACAGTGCACCCACACCAGGCCCACCATCCCAATGCATGATTTTCTCACCTATGACCATCCCCAGCATGCAAGACCTCTTACTAAAGGTAATAGTCCATCCAGAATGTAACAACAGGATATCCTCACCCAGATCATTCCCACCCAGATCATCCCCACCCAGGTCATCTCCACCCAGATCATTCCCACCCAGATCATCCCAACATAGATCATTCCCACCCAGATCATCCCCACCTAGATTATCCCCACCCAGATCATCCTCACCCAGATCATCCCTACCCAGAACATCCCCACCCAGATCATCCCCACCCAGGACAGCCCCACCCAGATCATCCTCACCCAGATCATCC